AGAAAAATTTTGAGTCACAGAATGTTATCAGGGTCACAGTGATAAGTGGTCACTTATAAGAACATAACAATCCTAAAAATGTACGCACCCAACAATGGGGCTTCAAAACACAGGGTATAGACAAGTAAGGTGCCGCAGTTGGTGATCCCAGGACTCAGGAGGCTGAGCAGAGTACTAAGAGTTCCGGGTCACTGGGACTCTGTTTCGAGACCCTGTCTCAGAAACAAATCAAGGGCTGCAGATGTAGCTCAGGGATAGAGCCCTTGCCTCGTGTACTGAAGGCCTAGGCCCATGCCCATCACTGCAAAACAACAGGGAAAGTTTTATACCTATAAACTGTCTTAAATATAAAACAGTTGAATGAGCAAATCCACCAGGAATCTTTGTGACAGAGCCAGGGACTTAAGCAGGACAATCATTCCTTAAGCTTGGAAGAGGGCTGTTGTATAAAAAAAGAATCTAAAAAAATAACCCCTCAAACAAAAATAAATAAATAAACAAACAACAACAACACCCCCCAAAACAAAACAAAAAACCCTTTTGTCCTTTCAGACTTTTTTCCTTCATCCTCTCTGGTTCCCCCGTGTGGCGGTTCTGGGTTCAACACAGACAGTGGCACCTCCTCTTAGGACAGGCCTGGAAAGGTAAGACCTAAAAGGGAGAACTGTGCTGGGGGAGGGAGTGTAAGGTCAGAAGCCAGCTGCTGCAGGGCCTTACTGAGGAATGACAGTGGGGAGTTGCATGTCTGTCAGCGTTAGGGGTGGGAATGTAGGCAGAAAGGAGACAGAGGCCTGCTAGATGGAAAGGCCGTCAGCCAGGTTGATCCACTCTGGAGATTTGAAAGTCATTTGTCTGTTGGGTGAAAGGGAATAGGGTCACCTGCACACAGGCACAATGCCTTAGGGCTCTATGGCTAATCAAATAAAAGTGGGTGTTTTCAGAGACTTAGCTCAGCTGGTATTTATGCGCCCAACAATGGAGTGTGTGCCACATATACATGAGGACCTGAGCTGTGGGTTTGATCGTGGATCTACTGCTTGGGGTCTCTCTGTACCGTCCTCTAGAACAGCAGGTCTCAGAAATAAGTGATAAGCCCTCTCCCTTAGGACATCTGACTATGTGTGGACATAGTTCTGGTTGTCAAATGAGTAGGTAGACTTTTACCCACTCATTCCAAAGACTTGATCCCCAAAACCCATGTAAAAAGCTGGGTGTAGTGGCACATGCTTGTGATCACAGCACATGGGTCCCTGGGTTCACAGACAAGCCAGCCTAGCATAGTCAGTGAGCCTCAGGTTCCAGTTAGACTGACTCCAAAAACAAGGTGGACAGCACCTGAGAAACAACGCCCAAAGTTGATCTCTGGCCTCCATGTATACACATATGTACCTGAGCACACACATGTGCACATTGTGCTTGTACACACCCACACCTACAAACATACGTGCACATATACAGCACACACACACATGATCTCACCAATAAATAGAAGTAAATTTGAAAATGCTTGTATGCAAAGAGAACTGTGAAATAAACAAGTCATGTGGAACAAGGCTGGGGCCAGGAAGATCCCATGCAGGATTATGTCAAGAGAGTGCCGATGGCTTGGGAACTGCCATACCAGGGGCTGGCCTCTGCAGAAGGGGACTCAGGACTCTATCGGGTAGAAGAAATGGGGACTGGGACTTGAGTGACAAGTGGGTGCTTAGGTTTGTCTCTTATAATCTGTGTATTCTGCGTCCAAGAAAAGTGTGTCAACAGCCAGGGGGCCAGAGCTGTCTGGTTCTGGAAAGCACAGTAGGATGAGAATCAAAGTGTAGCCAAGCATTTTGTCCTGAACTGGGCTTTCACAGAAACAAGGGAGGGGCAAGGCTGCTTCATTGTGGGTGCACTGGGGTGCCACTGAGGGCTTTTATCTAAGAAGAGCACTTTTAAAGCTACAAAAAATATAAAACACTCCAGGGTACACTCCTCCCCCAGTGAAAGAACCACAGCTGCTCCTTCAATTTGCTCTGCTCCTCAACTAGCAGTGGTGGCATTCCCTGGCAAACAGGCTGAATCTGAAGCCAGGACCTGGGTAGGCTTGCAGGGGGCGTGTCTGATCACACTAAGGGTGCACAAGAGAAAGGTACCTGAGGCTTCAGGATCACTGAAGAAAGACTTGGAAAATGCTAACCTTTTGGCTATCAAAAACAGGCAACTCTCATGCCTTCCCCAGGAGGGACAGGTACCACATGGCCTCAGCTGAGGCTGTGAGCTATCCCACCCCCTCCTACATCTGCCTTCCCTTTTTCCTTCCTCTGCTGAGATAGTCAGAAATTGCCCATCACTGCTTTTAAAAGTTGAAGGCCAAATACTATCTGTAGGATGATCTCAGTCGTATTTTGAAAACTGAATGAAGGGCTGGGAGTTATAGTTCCAGTGGTGGATCATGAATGCTTCGTGTGAGTGCACAAGGCTCCAACTTCAATCCTCAGCAACACACACACACAACTGTACATGCTTGAAAGGGGGATACATGAGAATTCATATAAGACTACTTCTCTCCAGCTGTTAAAAACCTATGTTCTTCCCCTTAAATAGCAAAAAGAAATGCCATCGGTATGAGACATTGCAATAGACATGGGCTTCCACCTTGCTGATCTCAGTCCCAGGCCTCTACCTCAATAAATCCTTAGGAAGATGGCAAGAAATTAGTTTATCCAGGCAACAACAGCCAGGTGAAGGAAAGCAGCATGCTGTCTTCATATGTAACAGAATCCAAGACAAGGAGGAAATCACAAGATCTCTTAGAAGGAGCAAAGAACCCCAGGTCAGGGCCCAGCTCTCCCTGCAGAGACTTGTGGGGTGGTACTCTACTGATGGCTGGGGCCAAGCCTGTCTAAGCCACATGCCGCAGGTCCCAGCATCCTGGACCCACACAGCTGTTAGCTTCTGGGGGCGCTGGAACCGTGCAGGTTTCTTACAGCCCTGGGACGTTGCAGGGCTGTTTCTGTGATAGACAGCTGTGACTCAGTTAGCCAGAAGCTCTAGAATACCTCTTCTTCCAAGGAGGTCCGATGTACCACTGGAAAGTGCACCTCCTGCCCATCATTCTCAGAAAGAGAATGTTTGATAAGCCCATGCCCTCCCCAGCCTTATGTCCACAGCCCTGGGAGTTGGCCTGCAGCCTACAGGAGCTTTTCCACCTCAGCAGAGCTGACATTTGGGGCCAGGTGTGGTCATACTGCCTTTCTGTGGGTGATACAGCAGTATGAAGAATGCTTAGTGAAACCCCTGGCCTCTGTGCACTACTTCCCAGCTGACAACCCAAACCATCTCCAGATGTGGCCAGATGTCTCAGGGGAGGGGGCAAATTACTTCCTTCTTCAGGTAGTGGGGAACTGGGCTCCTGATGATGGGGTATGGGCAGGGCTGGGAGCAGAAAGAAGAGACTTGACAGTGCCCAAAGGGAAAGGAAAATAGTTGTTTAAATACACTTTTAGGGCCAGAAAACAGTGGTGCACACCTTTAATCCCAGTAACGCAGGAGGCAGAGGCTCTTCGATCTCAAGGCCGCCTGGTCTACAAAGTGATTTCTAAGACAGCCAGGTTACACAGAGAAACCCTGTTTCAGGAGGCCTGAGGGTGGTGGGGATCAAAACCAAAGCAAAACCAATGCAAATATGTCCTTTCAGGGTCGTTGCACTGTTCACCCTCCACTGTCTTTTAAGACAGGGCCTGCGGTAGACTACAGTCAAAGCACTGGCCTGGCAAGCTTCGGGCTCCATGGCCAACACCAGAAACCCATAAGACAGAAGTCTGCATCGCTCATCGGTGCTTCCTAGAGGCCAGGCTACAGGTTATGTTATGATTCCAAAGACTAAAGAAGGAGTGTCAGATTTTTCAGTGCACAACATAGGACCAGTTTGTAAAAGCACATAGCATACTTGTTGTCTAACAATGCTTTTCCATGGGAGAAGGTATGAAGACGGCAGTGGAGCAGGGAACAGGTGTGCCAGGCACTTGAACGCTGTGGACTGTATGCATGGAGGCTGCGGGGACTTGCGAGTGCTTATGAACCCTCCATAATGCCTGGTGCTTTCCCTCTTAGAGTCTGTCTCTTCCTCACCTTGCAGTAAGCACACGACAGGAAGGAACCATTTCTCCTAACTGTATCACCAAGTCCCCCTGTCTTCCTGGGCCTGCCATATAGTGGACACTTAAAACCTTGTTAAATTAATAAATGGGTAATATCCTAGGCTACATTTTACTTCCCTGACCAGCAAGTCCTCAACCCACAGGAAAAGGCCCACATCAATGTCACCTCCTTGGGGAAGCCTTCCTTGATTTTTTTTTTCTCTTAGCAAAAACAATTACACTCAGCTGATACTTATCACATATATATTCCAGTATATACCAGTTCATTGTGTTACAGTGTCCCTCTCAGAATGTAAGCTCTCTGTAGGCCATTTTGATGTTATGGTTTATTATGCCTACCCTCAACAGCTCTTGATACATAATGGATAATCTATAAATCTTTAACGCAATAGTCAGTATGCAACATTCTGTCCTGAACCCTAAATATTACAGTTCAGATGCACAGTCATTTACACACTTTGCAAAACTCAGAATTATGAACCACTGAGGACTCCAGGATCCCAATGCTTCAAGCAGAGAAAGAACATATGCCCTGCCCCTTTAAAAGTTGGTTTGAGAAGTCTGGAAGGATCTATGACCTAAAGGCAAGATGACACAAGGAGCTTCAGGCCCATCAAGGCCATTCAGACCATCTAGACATCTCTAGGACTCATCCTGCTCCTACCTGCACCCATTCCTGGACCAGAGTCCAGGGCCAAACAGACTGCATGGAGAAATTCACAGCACACACTTGTCCCTGCTGCTTTCCCCAGTGGAAGGGGGGATCTGAGGCCCCGTCTGGCCTCTAACAGCTTACATATATGGAATTGTGCCACCCCCATGGGCTGCTTTCCAGCCTGGCCTGTGGGCTCCTCTGCATACCTGTTTGAAGGTGGGGGTGAGGGTGCTTTCTGGAGAGTGTCTATCCAGGGCAGGGTCCTCTTTCTGTCTGCAGTCCAGCTGGATCAGGCTGCGGCACTCTGGGTGGCAGGTGAATTTACAGTCTAGAGGGAGAGAAACAACATCAGGGGTCGGGAAGATGGCTACTTTCTGCACCAAGGAAAGTAGTGCTTGCCTTTAGCTCTGATGGAAAGAGCAATATAGTAGAGAAGCAGAGGCAGGAGACTGTGTAAGGGTGATGCATGACCTCTGAGTCAGAGCAAATAGGGGCAGCGAGTGCCTCACACCTGTATGCACTGCTTCCACCTGCATTACCTCGTGTGATCCTACATTCACTGTTGGGACCTTGAGTCTCCACAGTCAGACCATCTGGATATAGACTGTGCCCCATTCTACCAATTCATATTTATAATCCTAGGCCTTGCTTTGTCAATCTATAAAACATAGGTATTACCCAGCCTGTGATGTAAGAGGGCATATATGAAGAATTGAAAACACTCCAAAGACACAGTTGTTATCATAAGCATTATTTCTCTAGCCCTGTGTAGACCAGAAATGTTGGGGTGGTTCTTTAAACCCCACTGGAATAGCCTACTGACAATATCCCAAAAGGGGGGGAAATCACACATTCCAGAGGTGCTGTTCTCTTCCATGACAATAGAGACTTAATGTCTAGAATTGAAAGAAACCTTTAGACTTTCATCTAAGGACTTCGTTAGAGATAGGAAACTCCCAGATACTGAAAGTGAGACACCCAATGACACAGAGCACGAGCCACAGAGCAGACACTGCTGCTTCCTTACAGCTGGAGCCTCCTCTGCAACAGGGAAGGGAAGTCAAAGGGGCCTGTAGGCAAAGAGACTCAGCCAGGGAGCAGGAGGAGAAAAGGACAGGAGGGGTAGGGCTGAGGGGAAGAGAGAATAGAAATAAAAGATATGAATGCTAGTGGTCAGCTGGCAGGACGGTTCCCACAGATGGCTGCTGGATCAGCTGTGCTCTCTTGTCCTGGAGGTGCCACAGCTCAGTCAGAGCACAGCCTTCCATATGCTGGCTTCCCTGACTGTGAAGGCAGGTGCCTGAGGTGAACCAGAGCAGGTGGGCTTTGTGGTAGGCACCTCAAAGCCTGAGCTTGCATGGATAATCTAGAAAATGGAGGATCACTTTTAGTTGATAATGGTTCAGGCACCCTGAGAATCCGTTCCATCTAATCAACTTCAACATTTGACACATTTAGGCTCTTTTTCTCCAAGTTGCCAAGCAGCATACTCTATCTCCGGTCCTAAGGCAGCTGGTTTTCTTCCCACTGAGTTGAGGAATTCCAGAACATGATTCCCACTGTCCCCAGCTGCCTCCTTGAACCTCCCCAAATAAGCCCCCAGGCTATAGTCCTTATATAGAGACCCTGACAAATACAGGACACTGAGATTCCAGAACCCTTTGTCCTCCTTCTTCCATGGACTAACTTCCCATGTACTTTTCTAGGGTGGCAGTTAGAAGCTTAATGTGCACATTCCTCAGGCCCTCAGGTAAAGCTGCCAGCACCTCAAGTTCTTGCCTGGAGTCATCCTAGATTAAACACTAACACCAACTTGGGGAGGAAAGAATTTATTTTAGTTTATAGTTTCTAGTCTATCATGGAGGGAAGTCAGAGCAGGAGCCTGGAGGCAGGGGTTGAAGCATAAGCATGAGGGAACACTGCTTACCGGCTTGCTCCCTGTGCCAGTATGGATGACAATGGCCCCCATAGATGCATATATTTGCATGCTTGGTCCCCAGTAGGTGAACTGTTTGGAAGGATTCGGGGATGTGGCCTTGTTGGAAGAGGTATGTCATTGGGAATGATCTTTAAGGTTTAAAAAGCCCACAGCAGGCCCAGCCTCCCCCGCCCCCCAGATCAGGATATAAAGGCCTCAGCTCCCCCCCAGTACCATGCCTTCCTGCTCAATGTCACACTCCCTGTCATGATGAGAATGGGCTAACCCTCTGAAACTGTAAGCAAATCCCTGAGTAAACGCTTCCTTTATAAGATTGTGAAGGACAATATCTTGGTCATGGAGTCTTTTCATAGCAATAGAACACTAAGACTCTCTCCATAGCTTACCCAGCTTGCTTTCTTAGACAACCCAGGACCACCGGTCCTAAGGTGGCACCACACAAAATGGGCTGGGCTCTCCCACATCAATCATCAGTCAAGAAAATACCCCCACAGACTTGCCCATAGGCCAACCTAATGGAGGCATTTTCTCATTTGAACTTCCCTTTTCTCAGATGACCCTGGCTTGTGTCAAGCTGGGGGTGGGGTGGGGCCAATGACAACTAAAATAACTTGTTATGGTAAGGTCAGTCCTTTGAGGTCATATCATGTACCACCTGAGTCCCAAAGGTGTCTTGGAGCTCCAGTGGCTAACACACAGCTCAGTGGAGATAGCTCACCCTTAGTGGGTAAAGAGCACAGAGGGCTGTGTGGGCCAAGTTCACCGACAGCATCCAGAAATGCCAGGACGTCTCATACTATAACACTGAAGCAGAACCCAGAAAGGATGGGTCTGTTTTGGACTCAGCTCTGGTGGCTCCTGATCATGCTCTGACTGTCAAAGAATGCTCCAGAGCCAAGAAGTAGGGACATGAAGAAGAGGGTGGCTAGAAGCTTTGCCAGCTCCAGGGCAGGTGAGAGCCACCATCTTCATGGGGAAGATCTCTAGAAAGCACAAGGTTTCCACTCTTCCCCTTGCAGTGACTTGCATGGTTTGCACATTCTGCCCATCTCTGTACCTGAGCTACTCACTTTCACCACCTCTCTTTGACATATATGTATCCAAAGCCTTAGAAAGTTATCTTTATAGTCCTGAAACAGAACTGGGCAAGCTGGGAATAGAACACTCCAATAGTAGGCTTGACATGTCAGAAAATGTATATACTACCACACCCTTTAGAAAAGTGTGTGGTGGCACATGCTTTTAATCCTAGAACTCAGAAGGCAGAGTTGAAAGCCAGCCTGGTCTACACAGTGACTTCCAGACCAACTGGAGTTACACATAAGACCCTGTCTCAACAAAACAAAGCAACAACAAAAGAAAACAAGATACGCACATGAGCACTAATAACTTTCTCTAATAAGATCTTTAAGTCATGGCTGCATCGAAGTTCCTGGAATACACCATCACACTTCCCAGTCCAGGAATTTCAGACATTGATGACATCTGAGGCCCACCCCACCCCCACTCCATACCACCAGTACACACTGAAAGTCTCCTACAGGGCTGGGGTGGGAGTTGAGTAAAACAATGCTCTATGTCCCAAAGCCTGGGCCATGTCCCAGGGGACCCCTAAAGCTAACCCCATTGACCTCCTTCTCTCAGGGAAGCTTATCACTGTTACTCAGCCCTTGTCCCTGGTATCCTATTATTTCTTACAACCTTTATCTGGTGTTCACTTTGGACACAGGAAGACAGATCCCAGATGGAACTAGGCCATGCAGATGCCAGCATCTGTGCTGAAACACCCATATGCTGGGCCCGGACTGCCACATACTCTGTGCTAGCCTGAGGGTAAGTGCAAGGACTCTCAGCTGGGCATGGTAGTGTACAATTTTAATCCTAGCACTTGGGAGGCAGACACAGGCAGATCTCTGAGTTCAAGACCTTCCTCTATGGAGCAAGTTTCAGAACAGCCAGGGCTATGCACCCTGTCTTGAAAACAAATAAACAAACAAACAAACATAGACAGGATTCTCAGGAACCAGGGTGCAGTTAGAACATACAGGAAAACAACTAATGTGAAAGATATCTGAAAGAAAAGGCCCCACTTTGCACAGATCTAGGAAGCTGGCTCAGACAGATATACCTGTGAGCTAGGGAAGCCAAGGCAGGCTTTGGATGGAAGAGCCCACAAGGTATGGAAAGAAAGGAGTGACTACCGCCAGCTCAGGTACCCTAATTAGAGGAAACAGAGGAGACTGGGGCCTGCCATGACTGAATAGCTAGGACAAAGGTCTCACCACCAAGAGGCTACACAAGATTAGGGAGCAAAATTCCCAGTTTCTAGTCAGAGTTTTTCAGAATTTTAATTAGCATATATTTATTGTATAAAATGATGGGTTTTATTGTAGCATTTTCCTACATGCACATCACGTTCTATCTTCTTGACCCCTCTGGAGAATCCCACTTATTTCCTACCTTTTCCCTCTCTATGTGATCTAGACTCTACCCATGAGAGAAAACATGATATTTGTTTGAGTTGGACTTACTCAGCATGATTTCCCATTCCATCCACTTTCTTATAAATGGCATCATTTTGTTCTTCCTTAAAGCTGAATAAAACCCCCTTGTATGCAGACACCACCCATCTGTTGATGAACATCTATGTTGATTCTATTACCTTGTCACTGGGAGCAGAACAGCAATAAACACGGATGTGCTGGCATTTCTGACATCTCTTGATGTTAGTGTTGTCAGCTGTAAAGTGGTTATTGTCAGAGCTAGTGAGATGGCTCAGTGGGGCAAAAGGCACTCGCTCCATGACCCGAGTGCAGTCCTCAGAACCCACGTGGTATGAGGAAGAGCACCGACTTGCAGGTTTTCTCCTCTCCACACACTCACCATTGCCTACAGCAGGAATGGATTGCCTCCTCAAGTTGTTCACAGGCTCTTGATCTCTCTGAAACCTGAATGGGAATCTTGCCTTTTCCGAGCTTCTGACGTCTCATAGACAGTCGAACACTTTTTTTTTTTTTTTTTTTCCGAGATAGAGTTTCTCTGTGTAGCCCTGGCTATCCTGGACTCACTTTGTAGACCAGGCTGCCCTTGAAGTCACAGAGATCTGCCTGCCTCTGCCTCCCTGAGTGTTGTGATTACAGGCATGAGTCAACACGCCCAGCTGACAGTTGAACATTTGGCAGCTTATAGCTGAACATTTCTGAACTTTGCCAGCATTGTCTCAAGATTTTCTTGTATTTGTCTCCCTTAAAAGCACCTGGTCAGACTGAGTCAGTGGCCTACCATACTCCAGAAGGACCTCTTCTTGACCAATTATATCCACAATGGTCCTGTTTCCACATAGGGCCTTGTTATGAGGTCCTAGGAGTTGGACTTTTTGTCAGAAAGTA